AAGCTCTCCGTGGTCATTTCATTTGTCGCAGAGAATCAAATATATTACACGACATTTGAAAAATGGCAAAAAGGAGGGAAAATTCAAAAGGTGGAGTTGAGATAGGAAGTTAGTGTCAGAGTAGATCGAGGTCACGATAGCTGTAGTGATAGAGCAGCGGCGTATCCAGCCGAAGATCGTGGGTTCGAAACCCGTTCGTGACACTGACTTTTTTATCTCAACTAAAAACCTTAATTAATTGAAAGATATTAATTGGTCAAGCGGACCACGAAAACTAATGAATTTACATTACATTTAAATGTTAATCCCAAAATTGCTCTATATACTACAGGAGCGTTCAAGATTAATAAATGTTTATAATTTATTGATTTGTCAATATTTCTTCTTATTGGTAACAGGGACAGTGCATTATGATGTGCTCAAGATCTACTATTGTCCTAAATCGAAACAAAAATTTATTCTGAACAGAAACGTTCCACATAACCCATGGTTGCTACGGATTCTGTTCTTTATCGCACACTCTTTTTGTTAAGTCCATTTTATCAAACCTTTTCTTCTTTTTCCTACAAAGGTTGATCGATTTAAAGAACAACTTCTTGGCTTTCGATGTAGCAAACAATACGCCAATCTGCTGAAGTCGTTGCTTCATCTCAGCAGCGGTAGAATGTCGTCGATTACGGATTACATTGGAAACAATAAAACCACCCTCTCTCTCAGATGTGACATGCCTTCCATGCCTTCTTGGCTAACCTTCAGTTGGTAGCGATGGAAGATACTTCTGACAGTTGTTCTGGGAATGTTAAGCACCCTAGCTACGACCTGAACACGAATGATTTTAGCCGAATTGGTATCACATAAAACCACCACACAAATGAATTTGAAACTTAAAAATGGTATGACTTAAAAAATCCTCACCGGAACTTTAGTAAGAAGCTTTACAGAAAAACCAACAAAGGAGGGATTGACTATTCAATGATTTAGTTACAAACTCCAATTGTAGGCACAAGTGGGGAGATTGTATCTGCGTTTTATTCACACCTTAATCTTTAAAACGGGCCAACTGTAATCAATAACAAGAAGTAAGATAATGGACAATCCAATGATAATGGAGGATTGTCTAAAAGATAATTAATAATATTAACGGTGGCCACTTTTTTGCCTCTCATTGTAGTAAATTGATAGAAACAATTATAATGCTAGTATCTTTATTGTCTCTTCTTTTGCTACAGAAGATTAATACGTTTCTATATAAGTGTACAAAACAAAAAAATCATTTTATCTTATCAACTCCGTTTACATTGTAGGTCTTTAGTTTCTCAAAATTGCAACGACGGAATGAAAGGATGTTTAGCCAAACAACATAATGATTCATTGATATGGATTACTTGCTGATGACGCGAAAAGGTGTCGATAATACTCTGCACGAGAAAATGGCTTAATCAAGAGTAATGACCTTTTATGAACCAATTTTGATGCCAAAACAAATTTTTGTTTTCCGTTGAATTTGCCATCCGGTAAGATCGAAATATAAATGTTTAGATTTAGATTGGTACCTAGATTGTATGCTGTGTATGAAATAAAGTAGTGGGTTCCCGGACTTGAAGGCGTAGAAGGAAATGAATAGGCTGACCAACTAGCCGAAAAAGTATCAGCCTTCTCACCCATATGGCCCGACCCCCTACTAAGTGCACCGGAGAGCGTGCTTAAAATGGATCTGGAAAAATAGTTTGGGAAAGAACAACTCAAGCACTGGACAATCGCACCAGTTACGAAGCAAGCTAAAAGATTTCTCTCAAAACGTATTGCGAAGGAACTCCTCTCTCTCATCTGGCAGAATTTGAGGAAAATCTGCCTATATCCGGGCCATCAGCTTAAGAAGATGTCGACTCTGTCAGAAGCAACCAGAAACATCGGCACATAACTTTTGTGAATGTGAAGTTTAGCCTGAACTTTCTCACTCCAAAGGAGGTCTAGAAATAGGCACCAAGTGGTTACTTTTAGAAAAAGCGCATTCTCCAAGGTATGGCCATAATTTGGTTCGACAATAGGTCTTCTTAGGTCGCACTACCATAAAAAAATAATAAAACTTGTGGTAAAATATGCCAACATGTGGTTAACTTAAGTACAAAACGGGCTTTATTGGGACAATTTTATATGGGCTTGTTAAAAAAAGTAAACAATAAAATCTACAATTAAATTATAAATATAATTTATTTGGAAGTTATAAAATTACTTTCAATTTAGCAAAGCCCAGGTGGTATGATTTGTATTTGAAAGTTCTTTTGAAGATGATACGTAATAAACTAAAGCCAAGAATAAATTAAATTTATAATTATATTTAACGAGAAATTTGCAATTTTTGTTAGGACCTTTTTTACTCCGAATACTTTGGCAGATTTATTCAAATTACTTTTTAATTTGCTTGCTACATTTGACCCGGTTTTGAGTGCTTAATCTAATTTTTAAAATGAAAAAAGAAAGAAAAAAGTGTTTGATATGGATTACTTTTATTGCGTTCGATTCGGTGTTAATTTCTTAATATCCTTTAAGCCTGGTATCCTAATCAATGGACTTTATAACCTCATCAAGAATTAAGGAAGATCCCGTATTTTCGAATATCTATCGAATTAAATTACCCTCTTTTTGTGTGTGTTAATTAGTTCGAAGTAAAATTTCCAATGCCAGTAACAAGCTTTTACATAATTTTTGGGCTCGATAGGAATTTTTTGCGTGATCGTTTTCGTGTTCATCGATCATCACTGATTCCTAATAAAGTTGTTTATGAAACTTACCAAATATAAAATAAAAAAAGCTTTGTTGTAAAACGTTGAACATTTCACTTTAAAAACTACAAACTACAAGCACTGGCCGCAATACTTACGGAAAATTTACTATATTTGAGGTTTTAAAGCGTTTCACATCAACTGATCTGTTTAAACTTTTTCAATTTAGAACTAAATCGTAGTTCTAATTTAGCACGACGTTAAACAGTGCAGTTTCAAGGGCGAACTGTTTTCAAAACCCGTTCGTTTATTATCATTCGACTGTGTTAAAAAAGCATCAACAACCGAGTCACGCTAAATTTAACGTTTAATTACCTTTTTTATTTTAGTCCGTCTACGCTTCAAAAGTAGAGGGAATAATATTATAAAAGCCAGTAAGAAAACGGTGAGTTTTTACTTCTCGATAACAGTTAATTGTTAAAAGTTGTTTGTTTTTTAGCTTGCAAACAATGACCTGAATTCCTAATGTTTTTTTATTGAAAGAAAACAGTAAAAACGAAGCGTTTTGAATCGTAACTCATCCATAAAACATTTATTTATTGGATTATTTTCATAGTCTATTCCAAACGGTTAATTTAGATTGAAAATATCTGAGTTCGAACCGATTGGATTACACCAGTTTCATTTCTCGTTCAATTTACAACTTTCTTATTTTTATACAAAAACCACACTTTTCATTTGGCTTAAGTTTACTTAATAAAAAAATTACTAACGTTTTTTGAAAGTATAAATCTGATATTTCATCAATCTTCTGTATTGATTCTGTCAAAAGTGTCTAAAATCACGTATAAAAGTTAAATGTACATTTACAGTTTTAATGTATATTCCGGTTTTAGAAGACCATTCATAGTTTATGAGTTAACGAAATTCGCAATAACAGAATAATCAAACTTTAACAGTTAAACGAGGAAATCGCATACGGAAAGCTTGCGTTATTCAACTCCTACGGAAGTATCGATTATCTACGAATTTACCAAATTATATCTCGCCAATTAAAAACCATTTGCCAAAAACGTCAGAAACAAACCGTTTAATTAATTTTAAATGAAAATAAATTCCGACATTCCAGTGATAGCGGAAAAAGGAAAAGTTGAATGTCTGTATCGTTGGGTTATCTTTCAATTTTTGCTCTCCTGACTACATTCTTCTTCTTCTTGAAGATGACGTTCAAATTCTCAATCTACAATGTTTACGTTCTAATTTGAAGATTCAACTATCCTTGTTGATATAAGGGATTTAAATTAGGAATTTAATTATATTAGAATTTTCAAAGCTGAATAAAAATAAAACCCGTGTGTTTATTACAATCACAACCCATATCTTTTTTTCGATTCTCTTTGTGTTTTTTTATTATGCGGTACTCATATGTAATTACTTTTGCTTATTATTTATTATTAATTAATTTCTCCGGGTGTTAATTTGTTTGGAATATTAAATATATTTATGGTTAGCAATTTGTTGAAGTGAGGAGCGGCGAAGGATGTGGTAGTTTTTTCAAAAACACCTTTTTCGTTTTTTTTTGCCCAAGTTTCGACCTCGGGTCATCTTCAGGGTATGAAATGTGGTGCTATTCTTGTAGTTTTGTATTGGTTTTGTGCATTGGTTGCTTACTATGTTTATTGTCTCTTTTTCATGTTTTGTTCCAGTTTTCTTTATTTTTCGCTTTTTATTAGGTTAACGTTGGGTTTTACAACTTCTGGATTGTTGTTCGTTATTTTTGTCTGTCGCAACACTTTCACATAAAACCAATATGGCACTACAAGAATAGTGCCACACTTTATGCAATGATGATGACTCGAATAAAGGTCGGAACGTCGGCAAAAAAATGAAAAAGGTGTTTTTCTAAATTAAATTATGAAAAGAACAGGTCACTATGAAACGTACATTTGTGTTTAGCTTTGAAATGCTAAATCAGTGAGAACCTCTTCTCCTTATTATTTTAACTAAATCTCTCTTCCTGTTACTAATAATTATTATAATTTATTGGGTTTTAGTGAAAATAGAAATCGAGTTAGCAAATAACATTTGGAATGGTAATATTTATTCACTCAAAATTCACCTTTCAATGGAGATACAAACAGCGATTATAGAACAATAGAGTTTCGAAATAAACTGTCATTGTAATTTGGATGCTATTGCTTTTGTCAAATGTACAATTAAGACAATCTGAATATATATTGTTTGTTTGGCACTTGTTTCATTGATTTTTTTTTTCAGTTTAGATTAAGGTATGCACATGAAGGACATCATCGTGCAGAGCCCCGGAAAACCACGGGAGCTGCTGGACAAGGGACAAACGCCAAATTCGGCCAAATTTCCAAACATCCCCTTCGACGAGTACACCCTTAGAAAAAAGGACGACAAAGATGAAGAGAGTGACAGGTAAATTACAATTATTACATAGTAATCTATGTATGTTAAGCGGCCATAATTGACAGTCTTAATTATTTCAATAAATTATACGTTTAATTATAAAATTTATTAATTATTACATATTTGAAGTTGGTCTAACCGCATAGGAAATAATGCGTGATAGCATCATATCTGATCCAGTGTTAGTCAAGAAATCTTAATCATTGGCGATATACAAAAATTTCCTGCTTATCTAAAACTATTAATTTGCCTCTTAAATATATCTCATTTAAGGTTTATAAATATAAAAATATTTGTGAATGTGTAAAACAAGGTAAATAAGTATGTAACTAAACTCATGTAATTAGTTATTAGGTCACGTTTTTAGACCGATGTGAATTATTTCCCAATTATCAACTTTCTATCACAATAAAAAAAAATCGTACAACCTTGAATCATATTTCTTGTGACTGCTACTTAACAGGTTGCAACAGAATTTCATTTAAATTTCTTCATCACAATTTACTTTCACCTTACATATTATTGTTATCATTATCTTACAGACACATGAGTTTTATTTGGTACTGAACAAATTAATGGGATGTTTTATTTTACAATAGGAAAGCATATTTGTATAGTTATTTTTTGTATTATGTGTTTTATGTCAATTTATTTCATTATATGTTAACGTCAAACTTTCATTAATTCAAGTGCCAAATTAAAAAAAAAAAAAAAAAAAAAAAAAAAAAAAAACTGACCTTACTGTTATTATCAGAGAACTTTAGCCCCAGAATAAAGTATTTTTTATCTCTCTATTTACCTCTCTTGCTAAAGGATTGAATCCAAATGGTTTATGGGCACTGCAGGAGGTATGGAGAATTCTGGGTTTTTCTTTTGGGAAGTTTTCAGAAGTGCCCCCTTTTGTAGGCATTTTGGGTTTTCTTAATGTTTTCTTAAACCTCTCTGTGTAGATGTTGGTGGAGTAGCATGGGAAAATTGTTAGTAGGTACATTTTCATTAAATTTTACTAAAATAGCAAACCTATTTGCTGTAAGAATAGAAGCGTACGATGCTTTCTTATGCTTCTTTTTGTTCCTTCAGGTTTTCTTTGTAAACCTCACAGTCTCTGCTGTTGGACTGTGTTCTTATAGAACAATGAACGCATATTGCATCGTATCAGGTTTTCTTACACTTGTTTAGTGAGTGCTCCTCCGTATATTCTGGACTACGTTTTTTTATTTCGGTACTATGAATCTGTATTTGGTACTGTAGACTTCTTACTTTTGAAATGTATGAGTTTTCGCGGCATATCCTACCATAGATCGAGATATATTCCGATAGTTTCTCCCTTTAAATGAGGTCGGGCAAGTTTCTAGAGCATATATTTTAAATGTATCTCCCGATTTTTCGTACCTGTTCATGCGTTCTAAGGACAAAGGTTGTGTAGGTGACTAATGTTAGCTGATATTTATTCAACGTTAAATCTAAATCGTCTTTTTTTGTCATAATTTTTTTTTCTTTAAATTTTTCGACTCGACTAAATAACTTGCCATTTCTTTAGAAAACGTGGTTACTATGAGTCTATTTTTACCGGACATTCGAATCTCGATAATACTATTTTGTAATTTAATGTCTTGGTTTAACCACTTACCAAAGAGAATGGGGTGGCCTTTTCGTGATTTTCTTCATTGCTGTCAATAAAACGAAGTAGGACCACGTCGTCTTCACTGAACCTATTTTGAACAAGAGGTGTTTCAAATTGTGAGCTTATGATTTATTTTTTGGTATAGATGCAGATACGGTCATGCTGCAGATGATCATTTTAGAATACGATTTTTTATTTTTTTCCAATCTTCTCTCTTATTTTTTTTTTTAAATTTGATTCTTCCATTATAACATCCCTTAGAGATATCAATTTTTGGGATCTAGCCTCCGCAGTCCTCACCAATCGATAATATATGCAAATGAATAAGACGATGGGAAAAAGAATGGAGGACGTTACTTCATTTTAAGTAAAACTTAATTACAAATCATTGTCAATACTTTTTTACTTACAATATTGAAATTACAATTCAGTCGTTTGGAGGTGATTATTCTTTCCTAAATTTTAATCTTTACTTTTGTTAACATAGTGTAAATGTATTTACATTAACTGTTCGCCAGAAAAGGAGGGAAAGAAATACAAGAACTAATTAATGATAATGTTGAAATTAAGCAGAGTACAATGTAGTAGTTTTTAACCAAGAATTAAAATCTTTTTTAACTTTGTTCAAATTTATTTAGCATTGGTAATATATTTCATGATGAAAACGTGAGGAAAAGCAATTGAAATATAATACTTGAACAAAGTATGACAGAAAGTGTTATGTTTCAGCGACAACGAGGGAAAATATTACAACTACTCGGAAAAAGACAATGAGCTGTATTTGCAACTGAGCAAGCTTCGACTATCATCAGATACAAAAGGTAAAATATTTGTCACGTAAAATGTTATAGAAAAGAATGTTCATTCCTTATTTGTTATTAGATGAGAGCGACGAAGAGGAAAAACCGGACGACGACCAAGTCGTCGCCAAAGGCCTTCAGGACAACAAAGAGCTTCGACGAGGAAAACGAGCCGAAAGCCTCCGACCCTACCCGGTGAATACATTTTAAAACGCCTCCCATAATGTCTCTTTTTGAAAAATACAAATTATGTGCAGGTGGTGCAAAATATGTTGTGCAACTGGCTCGATAGAGGAGACGTTCATGTGGATAATGTGTTTAATTACGACCCCAACGATGCGGTATGTATTCTAATGTTTGAATGAGTCGAACAGATTCTCTAAATACTTTTGTTATGAAAATGATATCGATTGGTTTTAGGTGAGCAATATTACGTTACCAGCTGTTGAGCACGGTGCACCGTCTGCAATAGGTCCTACCTTGTTAGAAGACTATACCCCTGAGATGCAGGACTTCGAGACGTCGTTAATCGATTTCAAGTTCGATGTTGATGATTTGTTAAGCATACAAAAAGCGATCGAGGCTAATGAACAATCGTCGTACATAACTTTAGAAAGCTCGTTGCCCAATACATTGACATCGACAGACCTGGTGAATGAGTACTGTGACTCAACACGCGATTCCGGCTACGCCACATCACCCACCAACTCCAACCAGTCGATTCACTCGCCCCAATCTTCGGTCTACTCGAGGCATTCGCCCGATCCCAGGGGTATCCCCAAGTACGACAACAGGCTTCCTTCATACTTCCCCGAGTATGAGAACGAACTTAAAACACGGCCGGAATGCTATAATCAACAGGAGGCGCAAAACTATCCCTGCAAACCCGTATTGCAACTTCAACCTGCGAAGGACGGGTACGACATGGGACGTTTTTCCAACGGCTACCAGCAGTTCCCCGAGACGGTGCATAACGGCCTCCTTCTCCCTCAAGCTCCAGTCTGTAGCATCAGCGTTGATCTGACTGACATGCCGGCACGGGCGCAACGGCCCTACTTCCAGAGACAAAACGTGCCAAAGCCGATTCAACCGAATCACCAGCAACAGGCAATGCCGATTACTCCCAAAGATAATAAGCCTAACAAATACAGTTACCCGACAAAGTACCTTCAACCGACAACAGAAAAACCCGTTTATGAAAACGAATATGTCAAACCTGCTAGCGAGCGAATAGGGAAACTCATGAAACGGAATAAGGTTGAAACTCTTAACATTACTATCTCCTGCGAATCTACGGAAACGTTCTGCTCCATCAAAGAAAATCAGACGTACGTTTATTTGATTGCAGTTTCGTTTTTTATTTTATTTTATATTTAATACAAATTAACAATTGTAATCAGTCACGAAACCACAATAATCATAATTGTGAAAAAGTCCTGCGATGGTATATGCCAGATATTGGGCACGCATGAGGATCTACGAGAGCTGCATTCCAGTTTTTGTAATATTTGAAAACATAATGTGGTACATCATAGTTACATGGCATTAAATACATAAATTCCTATTTAATAAAAGGGTTACGTATTTTAAGTATTACTTACTCCTTGGCTCTACAGTCCATGGAGGTCATCTTACAAAATAATGTTCCAAACCGATAGATCCAGGGCAATTCTCTACCATTGCCTTTTTGATATTTTTTGTAAGTCGTCTTACACTTCATCGAGCCACCTCAAACTGTAACGCGCTGCTCTCTAAAACTTCTCTCAAGTTCATTCTGATCATTATGGTCTGCTTATCTTTCTTCTCTTTTGCTATCCTACTCCACAATTAACCACTGAAGATCACGATATGAAAAATATGTCTGACTCACTAACACGCAACAAACAGGGCATTAACGAAAGAAAGTGCACGTACCAAACACTAACAATCATTATAACGTATCCTCGCAGTACTGTCTGTATTTGGAGTTTTGTGTGAGTGCGTGCGTATGTGTGCGTGCGTGCGTGCGTGCGTGTATGTGTGTGTGTGTGTGTGTGTGTGTGTGTGTGTGTGTATGTGTGTGTGTGTGTGTGTCCTGTTTGTAAGAACTCCACAAACCTTGAATATTCAGACATTCTCGTTTGCCTAGTATCGTTGGTTTAGTCAGTCAGACATGGTTAGTTTGTAGAGTTCCAAAACAAAATAGGTATTCACACGAAAAAACCATACCAAGCACTACAAACAACACCACTAGAAGTGCCTAGTCTTACTGGCTTGGTCTTTTAGGCGAGTATTGGCATTTTTCTATTTTCAGCATATGTTTGTAGATATCTTACAAACGAAACAACGCCCATACCAATCACAACATCCATCCCGAGCATTCATCACTACCTATCGTCGCCGTTTGGTTCTTCGTAAGAATTGTCTGTTTGCTTTTTCATTTATAAGAACTCAACAAGCCTTGAATATTTCAAAATTCAATGGAATTCCAAAAAAATAATACCTGGCCAAGCACGAAACAACAGCACACGTCAAGATGCCTAATCTCACCGAATAGGTCTGTTAGAAGAGTTTAGGCTTTTCACCATATTCAGTAATGTGTTTGAGAAGACCTTATAAGCATGACATCCAAACGAAACAGCGCATATATCAACCGCTACTACTAAGATTGGGATTTAGTATGTCAATCGCCTTTTGGTAATTCACCATCTTCATTGGGTTGTATGTATGGTCTGTTTTGACGTGTGTATGTCCTGTAGAAACTTCACAGATCAAAACTTCAAGATAAGTTAGACCAAAATGATCGAAAACCACAAGGCCATAGATTAATCACTAAGCAGACTTCAAAAATAAATCGTACAATTAAATATTTTTTTCTTAAGATGAAAGCTATAGTTTTATTTAAAAATGACTTACTCCATTTTTCTCTAATTTGCATGTTCTAAATCCAAGTGTGCTGTGTTAGCCAGTCTGTAAGAAATTACGTCCGAAAGCTAAGTTTAATTTTGTAGTTCTGAATATTTTAAAAATATTTTTCTATAAATGTTAACTACGGAATATGAGAGTCCGAAGAGTAGAAATTTTATTAAATTGTTAATGCACATGTACAAATGGTCGCCCACATCGTTGGTATGTACCATGAAGTTATTTTTTCTGAAAATATTGTTTCGCTAAACTAACAAAATATTCAATAAAATTTCCATCAAATATGTCGGACGTAAAACAGGTTACTTTTTACAGGAAAATTATGCAACTATTGCTGATAAAAGAGATCCCTCAGGATTTCATTGAAAGGGTGTACGTCAGGCTGCAGCGCGTCAAACGGAACAAGCACGTAAGCCTGTTAAAGCACAGGGATGCTGAAAACAGGAACGCTTTGTTCATAGCAGCGACTGTCCACAAAACACGTCCTATAATATCAAGATTCATAGCCGACGTGTATTCTCATCTTGAAACGAGCCCCGATGAGGTAAAGTTTTCAACTGTTCATTGACGAATCGATACTAATCGCTATCTTTTTCCCAGTCATACGCAAACGACAACTCGCTGTTCCATATCCTGGCGGGAGAAAGTGATGAATGTGCCAATGTTCTGGCAGAACTGCTACACGCTACCATGCCGGACAAGACCAAGTGCTTCAACGTCAACTCGACCAACAAAGTCATGCTCACGCCCCTGCACATCGCCACCATGACCCACAACCCACCCAGCAAATTCGCTTATAGCATATGTCGATTGCTCGTCAACCACGGAGCCAATTTGACAATTCAAGTTGGTAACATTATCTTCTCAAACAATCGAAATAACTAAGTGAAAAGAAAAATACGGTTTTATTCAATTTACCACTTGTTTATGTTGGTTTTATACATTAATTGGGGCAGTACTGATCTGGGGCCTTTTTTGATGTAAGCCAAGATTTTGATCGAATTCGGCACCAGGGCTTGCTGTTCATGTTCAAGGGCATTCTTCTCTCCACCTTCTATCTCACTGACCGTTTTTCCTTGTCATTGAAGGCAATTCCCTGGCTGGGGTTTTTCACGGAAGCGTTCTGGACCCCCTACACACTATACACACTGCTGTTATTCCATCATATCTTCAAACCACGCTCGCATTTGCATTTGATACAGCGATCCTCTCTAGTAACTCCGATCCTGACTACACTCGAAACTTTTCAAATCAACACCTCACACTACTAGCCTCTTGGTGTGAAAAGTAAAGAATAAAATTTAACACAGATAAATCCACCCACATTAATTTCACTCTCTGTAAAAAGATCACCTCTCGAGTATTCCCTTCCCAACTGCGGACAAGATGCAGTACCTCGGACTGTACATCGGCAAACGCTTGCATCCTCACACACGACTGAAACGTCACTAAGTTATGACACAATAAAGGACTCTTGCACAACTTCTTGACAAACGCTCTGACCTACCTCGTATAAACAAAAAACTGCATTAAGCACCATAATTAACCCGATATGGGCCTTCTGACTGTAAGTGTGGGGTTCAGACAAATCCAAACTCCCCAGTCCTTAAACTTACGATACAGATTTAAATATTCTTCCGCCCAAGAGCAAATCCGCTCCTGTTATCGAAAATTTCGACCCTCCCAACGACCAACGTATCTAACAACTCATCCCCAAGAATTCCCTCAAGCCTCCTCATCGACTGAAGAGACGATTGCTTCGAGATCTCCCTCGCAGTGAAAATGAAAGTGATATTGACACAAGTGTTAATTAAACAGACAACATTTTTGTACCATTGGCATATTACCAACGGTTATTTTCTCTAATCTTTTCTTTAATTTTGTATATATTTCCTATTTCATTGTTTCCGAATTGAGTTGTACTGCTAATTAAAAATCTATATTACTTCTTAACAACGCAAACAAAGTGAAGACAAAATTAGAGTTTTTTTACGAAGAAATGTAAATATTTCATTTTGAACTATTCAATCAAAAATGAATGAGTTAAGTTGAATTAATGATTACTGCCTACTATCTGCTGTTTTCCTGATAGCCTCATGGAAATTGCAGAAAAGATAATCTTCGTCAAAACACATTTTTAAACAGGATTTTTTCCAATATACACGGTTTATTAGTAGTAACCACGTACAAATTAACTAGTCTATATGCAAATAAATTTTCACACTCAATGAAATAATATTAAAACAAATTTTTTGACATTGATAGAAGTAAAAACATTGTTTAATTTATAATCGACGACTTAAATAAGAAAAGTACGCATTCACAAATTAAATATAAACTAAAAGGATAATTTTCGAGTTTTGGAACGCATTGTTTTGAAAGAGTAATTTAACTTTTGCTGACTTGAATGATCATTTTGCATGTTGACAGGATAACGAAGGCGACACGCCGCTGCACATTGCGATCAAGAAGCACTGCGACCCGGTGTTCATAAAGGCACTGCTGAACAGCAACACAGCAAGGCAGTGTGTCAATATGACGGACAACAACAACAACACGCCGTTGCACCTCGCTGCCAAACGAAATGACATCCCGCTTGAAAAGCAAAAAGAGGTATCATTTCCCCTGCCTGATTTACTTGTTCAACGATTGATGTAACGATTTTAAAGGTGATCAAACATTTGACGAGCAGCCACGCGCAGTACGATATACAAAATCGCGACGGCAAAGTCGCCCTTTCCCTCGTTTCCGTCGAAAGAAAAGAGGTGAAAATAAAAGCTTGGTTTATGTAGAGTTTTATTTATTTATTTTTATATTTTGTTTACAGGAAATAAGAAAGATACTCCAGCATAGAATCTAAAGGACTTTGGAGGTTTGGGGGCACAAATGAGGTGTGATCAAATTAAGAAATGTAGTATTAATGGTGTTAAGATAAAGGCTAAAAATAAAAACAAAAGCAGGCATTTGTTCTACAAACATTAAAATGTTTTCACCAGCATGTTTCAACCAACCAAGTTCACAAAATTAAGAATTGATATATTTAATATCAATAGATAAATTTCAAAATATTTTCAAAATCAGCAGATCAATTGTAAAATTGAGTTTCATATGGCATAAAAAGAAATGTTTTTCTTGAGTAATTAATCAAATAAATGTTTTTAAATGAACATTCCAAATGGGACTAATACAGTTTTAAATAAATTGGCTATATCAATTATGCTTAATTGGATTTGGATAGTATTCAGATTTGTACTTTTTTTAATTTTTCGGACCATGACAAAATCGATTAGTATGTACATAATATTCCCGATTGCCGTATTTCTATTTTTAATTATTCTTATATTTTAGAGCGAATTAGTAGTTTAATCTTTCTCATTAAATGACCGAAAGCTATTTTTGTGGGCACACTCAACTACTACTTAAATGTTGCATTAGAAGCACTGTAAATGTTTTCTGTGATGTTCCTTTATTAGGTATTTTTAAAGAAATTCTTCATAAAAGAACCAGTTACAAACACAAGAACGTATTCCTTAAATTAAATATTATTTATACCATTAGTATTTTAAGAGAAAAGTTAAAAGCCATTTCGATGTTTTTTGTGTGCTAAAAATTGAACCAAGCATTTGCTTTATTATGATATGAGTTTTGTCTTGCGTCAAAACTTTTCAATACACATTTTATTCAGATTGAAGCAAATACTAAGAAAAAACTTTTTTAATTAATAGAATAAGTAAAACAAAAAGCCGAACCAATTTTTAACATTATATTGCAGAAGATGCTTCAATTTGGATATATCATTGTGAAATTTTAAAGTGTAATAATGTAATATTTTTAGTCATATAAAATCATAATAAATGTACCTCTTATTTAGATGTATGTCTATTTGTTAGATTTCTATAGACATCAATAAAAAAAACATATACTCAAGTGTATGGTGAAGAGTGGTTAGATTTTTTCTCGTCTTAATCTTGTTTTAATTTGACATACATTTTTGTCTTTTAAATTTGTTGTTAAAATGAACCAATACCCAAGTGATGGATTGGTTTTATGACGGTTAATGTTGTTAAATATTGTTTATATATTTTGAAATGTATGTTTATTAATGTTATTTATTTCTAAATATTGTTTTTTTAATTATAGTTCAAATATTTGTTGGTTGACAATTTAAAAAACAAAAGAAAATTATATATTTTTTATAGTATAAGTATTGAAAGTATCCTTCCAAGAAGAGTTAACATATTTTTATCTTTTCCCGAAAGTTTATAATTGTAATTTCCCTTAAAATTGTTAATTAATCTCAATCTTTGCTCATTGGTGTTAGATCGAATATATAGGAGATTAATTGCAAACTATAATTGTTAGTTTAGAAAATTTGTTTTCGTTGTGGATAGTTTAAAATAAATGTATACAAGTTATTCACATTATTCACTTGTGTTTTTTGAAATAAATACAATTATTCGTTGAATGTTGACGCATTAAACAGTGTCTTCTGATCCATTGTAACATTAAAACTAAAATGAAAATGTGTTTGGTTTTTAATTAAATAATACCTAATCTGTCTATCTAATTCGTACGATTTATAGAGATTGTACGGTTGTGCGATAAAGATCAATTCGCAAATAAGTCCGTTAGTGTAAATGTAATTTCGTCTTCCCAGAACTTCTCAGGTTTTTGAGCGATGAACGGATTAAAACCGCTCATCTAGCGAAATGAATCAGCTCTTTTTCCAGGCGTAAACTTAGGCGGGTTTTTCGAATTCCTCGTACGCCAGGTCCACTCATTAAGGTTAATTATGGGAAGTATAGAGTTGTTATATGAAAGATATGACGAGCTGTTAAACTTTTTTTATTATTGTTAATAAAAAATTTCAATAAAAAAAGAAATAAACGAAGAAGATTGAACAGTTCATTTCGCCACATAACAACTAACAACATCGTCATTTTACGACCTTTTTAATGAACGAGCGAATAAAACAAAATAAAAAAGTATAAACAATATATGCTCAACAAGGTGCATATATTATGGAAATAAATATATATATTAAAAAATAAATAAAAATGAGAGATGGATTAGGAGAGCGTTTGGAGCGGTGATACTAAACATCAAAATTTTATACATCAATTTAATTATGTTGTGTCTCTGACTCTCGTGTCGTTGATTGTGAATTAGGATAAAATCTTGAAGTTGGTCATCATCGATAATTCAAGGGCGACCATAGGAATACAAACGTCATCATTTTCCATCATAACGGCATAATTTTCCTAGCAATGTGAGCTGCGGTTTACCCTTTGCGGCATTAAAAAAACTAAATGACGAAAATGAAGTTTTGCGTACATTTTGAACTTTTATTTTTGGAAATTAGATAGTTAATTCTATAAACTTTTATAACTAATAATTTAAACTAACTTTTATAACTAATTCCATATAATTTATATGATTGTACATGACGTTTTATGAAGAGTGATAAGAAAAGAAAACTTTATGGGATGCTTTAATTTCAGTGTCTTTCTGTGCTTTTTGACAGTAAAATTTGATTATGCATGTTAAAACAATAGTTAATATAGATAGTTCAATTTCTGAAGTATTATCTGTGATGAAGTGGGCGTAGGCAAGTAGCAAGTTCTAACTGCGTTGTCGGTTTAGCATTGACTCCTTCCATAACGACAAATCAGCCTAATTTCGACCTTTTTTGAATTTCTTGGATTTCACATTTTTGATGACGATTTCATTAGGTTAAAGACTAAAATTATAAGATCTCGGTGGCCATCTGGTCAGCTGAGCGAGATAGCTCGTAGAACCCGCAGTCGTCGGTTCTAATTCCTACGTAGCCCTTGGACTTCTTTCAAGTTACACTTCCACCAATAAATAAGTGCACCTGTTATTACACACAATAACTAATACGCAAGAAGATAAGGCCATAAAAAGAATACAAGGTATAATAATGAAATAAAACATGCATCGATACATGTTTAAAACTTGTTGTGTACATAAATAGTTAACACATTTTAAAAGCCTCATAGAATGGTAAATTTACTGTTAAATAATAATATCATTATCAATTAATATAATGTTATATATATATATATATATATATATATATATATATATAAAGTGGAAGGTTTATGGGCCGACAAACAGCTGAGGTCATCGCCGGCCATCCACGTGTATTCCTTTTCTTTCCTGTCTTTCTCGCGTATTTTGTATTGAACTGCAGTCATTCGAGCATCTCGATCTGATTACTGACTCTCTGCTTTTACTTGTATATTATGTAGTTATTTTAAAAAGCTAGCCTCTTGTTAGTACCTCAGGTTGTCAATTTAAGAATAGATACACAACATTCAATACATAACATATATATCGTCACAAACATAGAAGTCTGGTCCCATTCACTCCCCCAGAGTACTCGATATTCCTCGGGGCGGGGTTGAACCCACTCCATTCTTGCTAATAACTTACTTTTATTCTCCAGACGTCACACACTCACCCCAGAGTACTCGATATTCCTCGGGGCGGGGTAAATAACCCCTTCCTTTCATGCTTAAAGTACATTCATTCCAATAGAGTAAAATACAAACAACATACAATACTAACATAAAAATCTGGTCACAGTCACTCTCCCAGAGTACTCGATATCCCTCGGGGCGGGGCCGAACCCACTCCATTTGCGCTAATAACTTACTATTGCTCCCCAGACATCACACACTCACCCCAGAGTACTCGATATTCCTCGGGGCGTGGTAAATAACCCCTTCCTTTCACGCTAATAAATTACATTCATTCTAATATATTAACATAAACACCACACAAACACTACACAAACACTTCAGACACAACACAAGCACAGCACAAACACACATAAACTATATAAATTTGAACATCCTTATAGCCCTGAGGTACCCACTGCCGTGCCCCAAGACTATGATATTCCAAAATATTGCCTACAAACGTCGAGCCTTCTACAATTGAAAAGGTGCTCGTCTGTTACTCTATCCTTGCATAATGGGCACCTTTGCGGTCGTTTTCCTGCTAGCAGGCGCCCGTGCGTAATTCGTGTATGACCTATGCGTAGTCTTGTCAGTATGACCTTTTCCCTTTTTGACCAATTTTCCGTGAACCAGGGATCGACGTCTTTCTTAACCTGCCACAGTTTGGCAGGGTTATTTCTATTATATGATTATAATGTTATAATTTTGTAATCATTTTAGTGTATATAATAAGTATATGTTGTCTCTAGTACATGGCTGTAAAACAATTGTGTAGAGTGAGATTATTCAGCCAAAAATGAACTGTTTTCTCACGGTTTTTCTTTGCAAACTGCGTTTCAGAGCGTTTTGTTCCTTTTCGAAGTGTTTGGAGCTATAAAAAAAGACTAAAATTTTTGCAGCATAAACAATCGGAAGGATTATGTTTATAATTTGGGACCCCGGGCATATACGACTGGAGCGTAAAGGACGAGGCGACTGTGGACGGTCGCAAAATTGTTTTTTCTTTCATTTTTTCTTCTTCTTTCTTCTCTGATCCGTATTATTTTCAGTCGTCCAGAGAATAATTGTAGGGCTTTAAGTAATTTTATTTGTGTGTGATCCTGCTACTTACTGTGAAACAGGTTTTAATACAGGAAAACGTTGAAATGAAGATAATTGTAGTGTGTTATTGTTTATACAGGAAAACATAAGACGTACAGTTTTTGATTGAAAACTTTCGGATCTTTGAATATTGTAAAATTTAGCCGATCCGTTTACCTGGAACCTGTACATCCATTAGTATATGTCGAAAGTTTTAATTTTAATGGCAATTTTGTAAGTTTGTTACCGGTGATGACGTGGATACTAAACCCGCAACGCTGAGCGGTTTTGAAAGTTGCCTACGTTTTAACGCATAGGAGATAACTGGGAGAAGAAAATTTTTTTTTACTTCATTTATTTGTATCTACAACTGTACATGTATTATGTACAACCAGCAGATTTGATAATTTATGATTGTGGCATTACGGGCGTTATAGAGAAAGCTACCCATTGGCAGCAGTTATGGAATAAGAAAATGACATTAACCATTTAAGAGGTCAAATATCCATATTCTTTTCAGACGTGATAATTATGGGGAATGGAGTAATCATTGTGTGTTAGTGTGATTTTGTGATTTACTATGAAAACGTCTGTAATAAATTTTGATGGATGAAAAACTGTTGGCATGTGAAGTTCTCTGTGAAAACCAAAGTTTTTACGTAAAAAGAGCAAAAACAATTAGCCATAAAATTTTGAATTGAAAACTTTGTAATCTTTGAATATTGAAATATTTGGCTGACCCATAAGCTTGACATACATCCAAATAGGTTTGAGTAGGTATGTGTATGCGAAAGTTTTGATTTTAAGGGTAATTTTGATTGTCGGTTGAGTAGGTAATAAAGCATTTTAAATTAAGTGTCTGTTTTTTTTACTCGCGTCTGCGGATTCCAAGTTACTCTTCTATCAAATGTAAGTTCTAAATAGTTAACTTTGTCGGATTGAGGAACAGGTTCATTGTGTAACAAGTCAAGTCTCACGAAGGAGTAAAGGTGATATGTTGTGACTTTGAGGGGTTAAACTTTATTTTCCAAAGATTACTCCATTTTTCAATTGTTGATATGCGGTTTTGTAGCATAAGTGAAGCTTGTGTAGAAGAGGGATGACTTATTAATATGGCGGTGTCATCTGTGTATGTGGTAGAAGTGCATTCTCATTTGTGAACATATCAGAAATAAAAATTGTGTACAACAGAGGAGCGAGTATTGACCCTTGTGGCACACCTGCAAGCACTTCTTCCCTCTCAGAAATCTCCGTACCCTGGTTTACCGCGAAAAATCTCTCCTTATGGTATGATAATCAGATAATAGGCCTGGGGTAAAAATAATTTTAATTTGTATAATAATCCCTCATGCCATACTTTGTCGAAGGTTTGAGAAACATCTAGAAACACTCCAGTCGCGTATAGTTTCTGCTCGAGACATGAAGTAATAAAATCTGCAACTCTGTGAAGTTGATGAGTAGTGGGATGATGGGTTCAAAAGGTGCTAAGATAATTTTCGGAAAATAAAATATTTACTTACATTAACTTATGTGTTTTATAGCATACTTTGCGAATTGTTGAACGTTTGTGAATATTTTAAAGGGATAGACCAACGATATTTACACCGTTTGATATCTGGCTCGACACCGACTGCAATTTTAATTATTTTTATTGTATTGTTTTATGTAATAATCTCTTGCGGAGTGTGTACCTATCCAGATAAAAAATCCGTCGGGAATTTATAGAATTTGTCTTTTATTAAAAAGGCGTAGATACTAAACCTACAACGTAACAAGGAATTGACGGTTGCCTACTTGTATAAATTCACTTTTCCACATCCAAAATGTAATTGTAATATGTAAACAATGTTTGTAAATCCCAGGCCCTGAAGATGATCTCAATAAAGATCGAAACGTTGACACGATAAAGAAAATGTTTTTGTGAAACCTACATCACACCAGACCGCATCTCACGATTTCTAAATAAACTTCTATGAAATGTTAGTCCTAAATAAGTAACTTTGTCGGATTCAGGAACAGGACCTGGATTTTATAAGTACAAGCCAGGATAAGTCTCAACGTAAAGGTGATATGTTGTGACATTGAAGGTTTAAACTTTATTTTGAAAGATAGGTTCACATTTTAATTATTGACATGTGGTTTTGTAACATAAGGGAAGCTTGTGTAGAAGAAGGGTGACTCGTTAATATGGCTGTGTCATCTGCCGGCATGGCAGTAAGTGCACTTTGATTTATAGGCGTATCAGAAGCAAAAATTGTATGCAATGTCGGGGTGGGTATTGCGTTGTTATTAGTGAAAAAATCCACAATGATCATGAGCCATCATTTCGTCTTTCCAGCTAATCATCCTCATCAACAGCACACAGTTACAGATTACATTATCTCATGTCCAATGTAGGCTGGAATTACAAATGTTTTTCACTCCTTCAACAAAGTGAGGGACTGTTGTACAAATTAAAACTTTCCCTGAACTATAATCTGTTTATGAGTTCACATCTCAATAAGCGATTTTTCGCAGTAAACCAGATATGCCAGGAAATGCTTGCTGGCAGTCCTGCCTGACTTGTCCATAAGAATGCGCGTATGGTCACTTGCGTGGATGTTTTCACCAATTTTCAATTTTTTTAGCAAACTGTACGGCTTATTTGTAGCAGGGTTAAGGAGTATGTGACCGTTGATTAGTTGATTATTTGGAGATCGCGAGACGCAGTCTTGTATGATGTAGGTTTAGTAAAATGCCAACGTTTCGATCTTTATTTAGATCATCTTCAGGGCTTGGGATTTACAAACATTGTTTGGATTGAACAAATATATTTAAGATGGGAAATCGAATTTATACAATGATGTACGAAATATAGAAATTTTAGGTTTATTCAAAGTATTTGTATGTTTTTTTCGTCCTTTCACCTCAAAGAAGCCGACGTCTTATACAAAAATGTCTTTTCTATACCGACATCCTTCCCCACCCCTTCAAAATCCAACGTATATAAAAACAAAATAGCAAAATCTCACTGGCACTCTCGACACGACACACAATTCTTGAATGGCACAATTACACAAAAGACAAATACTTTGAGTGAGTAGAAATACATTGATTGAATATATAAAAAATATATTTTACATTGTATAAATTCACTTTTCCACATCCAAAATGTAATTGTAATATGTAAACAATGTTTGTAAATCCAGGCCCTGAAGATGATCTCAATAAAGATCGAAAAGTTAGCACGATAAAGAAAATGTTTTTCCGAAACCTACATCACACCAGACCGCATCTCACGATTTGTAAATAAATATCGATTAACGGTCACTAATCACCACACACAAAATATTTGTACTCACTCAAAGTGTGTGTTATGTCGATTGTCATGTTGGCTAAAGTTAATTTACCCTCTGTACTTCAACCACGATACGTTCTTAGTCGAAAGGGATGGAATTTTTATGCCAAAATGCGATACCTGATAAGGAGTAGTTGAGGTTGATTCTTTCTTTTCGTTTTTCATTTTATTACATCGCTGTCAAAATTTTGGATAATCCAAACAAAAAATAATTCTGGTAGATAATTAAAGTGTCTTCATTAATTTTATAAGATACAGACTAGGTTAGCTGCATCACGAGGCTTGCTAGTAAACCGAGTCTTTAGTAATAAGGTTTTGCGCATAAAACCACATGCCAATAAGTGAAATATAGAGCAACCTTTAGAAAATATCTTTAAACCTTCACATCAGCTTTACACTACGTCTTATGACTTACCCTACTTATACAAGTAATTATTTCCTCAGCCGGCGAAAATTACGTACTTAAGACTTATATTTAATATCAGGTTAAATTAAAATCCGCACAGACGATTAATAAAACAGATACTTATCAAATTACTTACGTATACATACTCAAACTACAGGTGCTACAATGTTTGCGGATTGGCAAAATATTGCAAAATCCAAACATTACAAAATTTTCATTCAAAGATTTTTTGAATAATTGCTTTTGCCTCTTCACATGTAAAGAATAAAAACTTTACTGGTATCTTCCTTCGCATATCAACAGTCCTTCTTCACACAAATTCAATTACTTCATGCCCCACAATTACCCCATAGACGACTAAAAAGAATATGGATCAGAGACCTCTTCACTGGCTAGTCCAGAGCGACTGCCAATATGTAGGTTCCTCGCATGCACAAAATAAAAATCTACTCTGCTGGATTGTATAAATATTGTACAATTGCAGATAATGGCGTTAAAAAAGTACAACCGACTGGAGACAAAGTAACTGATTTGTAAAGTCGTATAGCTATTTATATTCTACGTATCTGGAAGAATTACCATGGCCGAGTACAGAGTACGACTCGTATTTGCCTGGCTAGCGGTTCTGGGTTCGAATCCCAGCCTTGACCGTGGAATTTTAAGTGAGGATAAGTTGAAAAAGTATTAGAAAGTCGTTTTGATCCCTCGTCCGCTACGCTAACGGCTAGTTGGACATTTAGCCATCCTACGACAGGAATTATTTCACTTTTTATTTTGATTTCACACAACGACTGACGAACAATTGAAAAAAAGAATATGAATCAAAGGACCTTTAAGTGATTAATCTGCTGCTTGAGAAAAATAATTAATTTTATGTTGTAGATAACTAAATTAAGAAAAAACATCACTTTTTGATCTTATTGATTTATTGTTTCATGTTGATATGTAGTTGGATTTACGAAAAAAATTTGACCAACCAAATTAATTTATAAAATATTATGTATGATGTTTGAGTAGTTATTTTTGCTTGGGTGGGTAAAGCTTCATTACAAGCTCTCTAGCAAACAAAAATATTTTACCTCCGATCTGGAGCCAGGCGTGTCTAATGCAAAGGCTAGAAATGAAGATTTCGCACACCATCTGTTTGTTCTATTTTTTTTACAAATGTCGGAAACACATGTTACACATTCTTTACTGAGGTTAGGAAAAAGGTAATAAGGATACAAAACAACGAACAGCGTTGTAGGAAAGCCCCCAACTTTCCTATGCAGAAGGTATTACAGCTGGCCTCAGTGTGCTGTCCCTGTTGTGCGGCGAAGTCGTCAGATAACGAGGTAGATGTCGGAAGCAATTTTGAGTACGTCGTCCACAACCATTACATATACAAAGTGCGGAAGCCGGCGACAACTGTGAGAACTGGCATACCTGAAGAATTCAAAATCGGCGACACCATCTCCAACCACAGCAGCCCAACATACCGCAGAGATAAAAAGAAAAGTAAGTCCACGTCTTTCTTGAGTAACGAAATCATATAAACGAATCCCCCACCCGGGTTTTAAATTCAACAGTCAGTTCAAAGTCAAGTTCAAATCAGCTTATATTTAATTATCAAAAATGACCGTCAATATGTCATAGATTACTTATTCGTCTTGTGCTCTTTCCACATATACATTAACACTAAGCCCCAACTCATCACTTTTATAATGTACTTATGTTAATGTTATAATTGCGATTCGATATTGTGACGAGAATGTTTCGTTTATATCGGTTGTTATTATTTTTACTTAGAACTGTTTACTATTACGATTACATAAATACATAATATGTTAATCAATTTAAATTAATTGAAATAAAGGCCAGATCATGTAACTTGCTATAGGCTAAAAGAATACGATTGATGTAAGCCACAAATTGATCAATTTCCTTTACTCATTAACGTATAAATAATAACTATAAATAGCAAGCACGTTTAAGTATGCTGATAATCAAAAAATGCACATAGATATACACATATTCCTTTTACAGTAAATTATGTTAGGAAAGGTAATAAATTAATAACACTGCTTTTGGTGTCAACCAATTTTAAGTCGAGAGTTTTTTTATTTATTTATTTATATACTTTTTTTATTTACAAGTACACTGTGGGCTTTATTTCGTTAGAATTGTTTATCAGGCGGTTATTTTTGAGAGATTTAAAAAACTATAGGCTTGACGCTACCATGGCGTTATCCGCAGTAACATGTAAAAATTTTCTGTGTGACTATAGTATACTTTAGTATGCGATATACATCCTACTGAAGAATTTTATTGTAATTATAAGCTTAACACCTTTAATTTACTTGTGTTTTTAAGTGAGTGCGTTTATTACCATGAATGCAAGGAGTGAGAGTGTCAGTGGTGGAAGGTCAAGTAGCCTGTCGATATGTTTGTAAGCAGGATCTGTTATTATAGGATTGCTCTATGAATGTGTTTGAATTGAAGGTATTTACGAATTAAAATGTTTGTTTGAACTATGCTTTGTTAGTCTAATTGGTTGAGAAGTATTATGGTGTTTTGGTGTACCTATAAATTACTCTTCATGGTTAGCTAATTCCAATGATTTCGAATAATATTAGCTTTTGTTTAAAATAGAGCATCGAAAAATATAATAATTATTTGATGGATTAACTAAATTGATCAAGACTGGACCAGAGGGATCAGGACGTTTTATAACTAGCTCTTTCGATAAAACATTTCCGGCTCGGGTTTCTGTCCGGTTGTTCTTCTAATAATTAAAGAATTGTGCTTTTAGGTGGAAAATCCAAATGTCAGGTTTGCCCGGAATATCCTGATATATTTGAGACCGAGAGGGTCATACCGGATAGACCCGTTAAGCCGACCCATTATAAAGTTTACAACGTTTTGAGAAAAGATAGCATATCGTTCGCCGAGACGCAAGATTCAATGGGCCAAGAGGAAGAGGAGCAAATCGAGGAAGAGGAAGTTTTAGAAAACGTAAGGGGGCCGTCTTTGGAGCAGGTCACCGTCAGCAGGGAGGATCTGCAACGGTCACGATTTACTGTGACGTCGTCGCGCTCGTCCTGCAATGACGAAACGCTCGCTTCCGCGATTTCCGAACAGATTTTCGCCTCGAATTCAGCGTCCGAACATTCGGCGGACAGTTTGAAACGAATTCTCGACATGGGCTCTCAACCCGTTAAAACAAATAAAAGAAGAAATTTTAAGGACGCGATGAACCTTTCCGAGCCCATCGACGATAAAAAAACTCTTGTGTGGCATATTTATTTAACGGATAAAGTTAAAAAGAAATAAACACTTACCCTCACCGGAATTTTATTTATTTTATTATGAAATATTATATTTAAATAGTAACTCTAATGAATACTTATTTGTCAAAAAAACTCGTTCTAAAGGATCTAAAACAAACTTAGTGCTTACACAAATCCATTGGCTCTCCTATTTTCCTCAGTCAGGCATCCCCTACATAAAGAAGATTAGAAATGTTAAAATCAAAAATTGAGGAAAAGTGAAATTGTATAGCAATTAGGGGTTGCCAAAATTGTAAAGCAACTACGTCAAAGAAACAAAGAAACTTACAACATAATGCTAAATACGATGTAACATTGCAGTTGTAATAACTTAATAAATGACTATCATATATATTTTTTTAATAGTTCTAGTGGCTGAGTTAGTAGAAAAAAATAGGGTGAAAAATGTTTTTATTTTGTTTTAGGTGAAAGACGAAGATCCCGAATTTACCCAGAAGGTTCGTTAGCGGAGGGATTCGATGAAAGAAACGTCACGGGGATCGATCAGATCAAGAACATCAATTCGGAAGGCGTACAAGTGTATTTCGTTGAAAATAACGAAACATCGGCCCCGTTGAAGTCGTACAATGCACATTCGCCTTTATCGGCAATATCGAAACACCTATACTCGGACATCGCCGGCGATTCGAGCCTTCTTTACAGCCGAGAAGAAACCGCCACAGGAGAATCGAAGAAGGAGAACAGCACCTACAGCCTTTCGCTTTCACAGGAGGAAACACTCACAGGAAAATATGTCGATTTGTCGTCCTCGTCCTCCATCCCGGCGAGCCACTGTGGAAGAGCGAGAGCTGAAAAATCCGTGCAAAAGTCGAGAACTTTTAAAGAAGCCATGGAACTTCCAGAAATGAAAAAACCGAGACAAAACCCGGGAGGAAACGGTGGACACGGTTACTGAAAACCAATTAATTGTAAATAACTCGTTTTTAACTTGGTTATCAAAAGATAATCTTTCATATCGAATTTAAAAAAAAAAACGAAAATATTTTAACATGTATATATAATATAAACACGATATTTTACGATTTTATATTTTTTCTTTTCTATAATTTGACTCGACTTATACAATCCATTCTAATATCTAATCCATTAGATTTCGTGGTCCGATTGACCAAATCACAACTTTCAATTAATTAATCTTTATGTAAGGTATTGGTTGAGACAAAAAAGTCAGTGTCACGAGCGGGATTCGAACCCACGACTTTAACCGAGTTCGATCCGCTCGGACACTAACCTCCCAACTCAACCCGACCTTTCGAATTTTCCCTCCTTTTTGCCAATTTTCAAATGTCGTGTAATCTATTTGATTCTCGGCGAAAAATGAAATGGCCACGGAGAACTTTAGTGAAGATATACTTCATTTAACTTATTAAATCCATTAGGATGTTAGTGTCCGAGTGCAAAGGTAGAGGGAGTGGAATCTACATACCAAAATTAGGAATCAGCATCTCCTCCCCTCTTGGCAATAACACCTCCGTTTTTCAGGCGGAACTCTGGGCCATCAATCTGTGTTGTAGAACACTTATGGAAAATAAAATTATGGGAAAAGATATTAAAATCTTTTCTGACAGTCAGGCTAGTCNGAAGTCACGATAGCTCAAGTGGTATTTAGCCGAAGGACGTGGGTTCGAATTCCGCTCGTGACACTAACTTTTTCATTTCAACCAAGACCTTACATAAAGATTAATTAATTGAAAGATTATATATTATATATAAATATATAGAAGTGACGAACTATTCAAACTTTTTCTATTATGCCAATAATATAAGGTTTAACCACCAACCAATTCAATCAATAAGGTTGACCTGTTCATTTCGTTTACATAACAACCTCATAATCCACTTTGATTTTTTCCTATTTTTAAGATTTAATTAGTTCCTACTTTCTCATATTTTACTCCAATTGTTCAGACCATCTTCTCTATACCGTTTAAGCCCTTTTCACTTCCAACCATTCCAAGTCGCCTCAAACAATGGATGTCTCAGATGCCTCCGCGCTTTTAATCTGATAGCGCTGGCTAGTTTCTTATAACACACATCCTCCGGGTGCGGTTCTGGCTGTAGATGGATGGCCAGGCGTAAACAGTACCATAAAGAACAATATGTGAGGTGTTCAAGAATAACTGGAATAATTGACCTTTAGCCAATAATAAATAATTCAAAGGCAGAGTTCTGTAGTATACAGATGTGAACCTCCACTCTACATCAAATCATCAATCCCAGCTCATATAACACTTTGATATGCAAATTTAGTCACAATTTAAACACACATCATTGATAAAATATAAATAATCATTACACTAAAACAAAAAATCGTTTAAAGTCTTTTGAAATGCGAATACATGTTTTTTTGTTGTAAATTCTATTGTTTAAACATTCCTTTACAACCAATTATAACGAAAAATCCCTATTCTACTCGATAAACACGAAATTTGGAAAAACAGAAACACAGGAAAAACTGAAGAATGAAATGTAGAGAAGCTAGTCGCCCGTATTGCTATTGAACAGAAGTTGCCGAGGCTGACAAGTACAAAAGTGAGTCATTGAGGAAATCACAATGTTGTAAATAGAAACGTCGACAGCAGTACGGCATTGTGTAGAGTATAGACTGTCGACTGGGGAGCGGTGAGCAATTAGATTTGAGCCATTAGCAATCTCCCATTGCTACTTGTCTAGTACTTGACGGTCTGCTAGTATAAATTACTATGGTCAAAGCTCCTATTTCAGATCTTTATCGAAATAAATATTATAATATTGTACATAATTTAATAATGTACGTAAAATCCTAAACCTTTTTTGTTATTTTTTTTATATAAAATTAAATTTACTAATCGACTAAGTTTCCCTTATCAATAGATCAAAAACGTGATCTCCTTGAAAAAACTTGATCCTCATGTATTAATATCAATAGAATTGGATTCTGGTTAGTAGGAATACGCTTTCTTGTGATAATTATGAGTACAAACGGTCTTCCGCTAAATTAAACTTTAAAAGGCTAACCTTGGAAAAAGAAAAAAAAAACATTACACGGGATGAAAAAGTGTTGCTAGATAATAACATGATCGCCCGGGCGTAATGATACTCATAAATTTAAATGTAGTGAATTCGTAAAATATTCGAAGAGCGGATGAAAAGATCGTAAAATGTGCCCTTTTGAAAGTTCAACCCTTCTGAACAAAGCTTTGTTTTCGCCCCTTTAAAAGCGTTAGACTATGAAAGTTGATTATAAATTAATTTGGTGTAATGTTCCCTTCATCGGGACGAAGAACGCCGAGTTGCAAAACGGTACACGGTGACTATGTTTAAATACAGTTCTACAAGGGAAAGCCATTATTATTATCACGGTAATAATGTCTCGTTTCCGTTCACCAGCAATGAGTAACCTCTAAGGCAACTAACTGTTAGGTCGCGCTTTTAATTTCGAAGACGAAGGGTTTACCAGCGCGCCCTCTGTTTGAAATCGATTAATCGAAGCCGACCGCTCACTTTTTGTTTTCAGTGTGTAAAACCGCATGCCCCGCCCCGGCTGGTCAAACCGCTTTTGCCTGCGCCAAGCTTGTAGTTTTCTGATTTCCTACTGTTTTCCTCACCGTTGCCTTTTCCCCTCTTCCTGTTTACCTTTTCACCCTCTGACTTTCACCGTTGTGCCGACAACCATGTCAGTGTCAGTATGGAACCCTAGAGGCAGAAGAATCTCTGTTTGTGTGGAATCGCTGAATGGTGAGTTACCTTATGTCTGTTGATTCTTTAACCCTTTTTTCACCGCTCTCCCCCTTTCATCTTAATTTAATATTTACACAGTTCACTACAGCAACGAAGGATGCCGACCAATCCTCCTTGTACATCATTCTGTCCTTGAAACCATGATTAAATTAATTTAAAGGGTATGACAACCAGAAATTCGAAAAATACAATTAAAGTCGTAAACGTCTGGATAAATTTGGTCTTACAAAATAAATAATATATAATCATAAATTAGAACTGCCGAAACACACTTCTACAATAGTATTTGTTTATTTTTTAAAAGTTATTCTTGTGCCTTTAATTCACTATTACCTGCACTTATGTATCGCTTGACTTGAAATTCCATATTTTTCTGACATTATTTTATTTTTCGTGTTGTACAACAACATTGTATTGTTCATAAATAATTTAATATTTATATAGGTTTATTCTGGAACAAGGCAAGCTTTAAAAATTAAAAAAAAGAAAAGAAAATTGGTGACTTAGAACGGAGCGACGATGAACTTTGGATTGAAAAGCTAAACAGCCACGCAGTTCCCCTCCATAAGTCCACTTAGATCTGATGAGTGTTTTGTAAGATGTCAGTTTGTTATGTGTGTCTCTTTTGTTAGTTCTTGAGTTAATCTTGCATGTGAGTTCCATGTTCCATGTCTGCTATCTAAATAAAGTCCAAGGTAGCGGACATGAATGGATGGTGGCATTACCTTGTTGTTTACGTGCACTGGAAGGCAGGTTTGAAGTTTGAGTTTTTGTCTATCTAATCTTTTTAATGTAATCTTACATATCATTTTTTATTTTACGTAAAAGAACAAATTGACTGATATGTAATAACGTTGAAATAAATGCACGCTAAAAGCAGAAAACCATATTTTAAAAAAATTACATTATTTCTTAAATATTTAATTAATATAATGTAAATTATTTGTTTTTTCACTTTTCTCTATTTCTATGGCCCATTGGCAAGAGCACAGGACACGAGTGTTTTGATTTAGTATTACCAAAAAAGGGTCATTAAGGTAGGTGATCCCACGCCGTAGAATCTTCTTGCCAGAGATCACGACACCCACTATTTTCTAAACATAAAATAAAAAGAGTTTAAATGGTTTTTGACCCCACAATTCACTTGTTTTAATGTTATTTCTAAGTGTTTAGTGGAATTTGATCTGTTATTAGAAACATTTGAAAAGCTTAAATTTTGAATTACAATAAAACTAAACGAAAATATTTTAGGCGTTTATTATTATTATTATTATTATTACTGAATACGTTAGGTATAAAGTTATATATTAAATTTACATAAAATATTGCTTCTTAAATGCCCTAAGGCTAAAATGTTTGGAAAGTGAAGCGCTATGAATTCTGACAAAATTCGCTTAAAACCGGAAAGGTTCAGCTCTTACCTCACGGGACATTTACCAAATTCCTTCCTTATTGCTGTTCTCGGCTCCCGTCAGCCACCTATTTCATTAAATTAATAAATACAACCGAAAAGGTTCGCATAAGACTCGAAAAATCCCCTTCCCTATAAAATATATCCGACGGCGGGAGACAGTTAAGAGCCATGATATCAATTTTGTAGGACAGTATTTACACAACCGGTGAGAGGCCGGATTTTGAAACGTGTGGATTCCAAAAAAAAAAATCTTGGAGTCTTTTTAAAATGGCTGCAACGAGTTCATTACACGCAGCAATCTTGACTTGTGACAAGATCGTGGCGGAGTAATTGCTTATTGCTCTGCGTTTAGCCCGCCGCGACGTATGCAAACATAAATAATTGCCACTCTCGTGGGTAATTCTCTAAAATTCTCAAACCCCATGGCTATCCTTGGCGTAAACCTTCATTATTTCTAGGAAAGCATAGAAATTATGCAACAGCAATGTGTTTAAATCTGCTCCAAGGATTTAATAAAAATAAAAAACAAGAAGAAATAACCATTTAACGAGATTAAAAGAGGATAATTAATACTATCGTTTATAATGCTGAACTGATAGACAACGATCACCTTATTTCTGGTTTTTCTTGCTACGTCTTCATCAGTGAAGAATTGTCATTTTAGATAGTTCTATTGTTTATTACCTTATTCTATAATAGAGTTGGGGTTTCTGCTTCTACCAGCGAGAATAAATTGGCTCATAAAAGGGTTCAGCACCGATCAATTCAAATGTGTTCATCCTTTCGCAGGCTAGTTCAAAAGAGAATAATAAATACTTTCGTTTTAAATGCGAAACTGATTGACAACTATTACT